AAATTTGGAGGTTATGTTGAAGTTGACAGAAGTTAGCATTTTTTACTAGAAAGCGATCCCGTACTTTTCAATGTTACTCTCTCGCTCTGAGCGAATTTTTATTTTTTGACAGTTTTACTAGTTTTAGTCCGAGGAATACGGGATTGCACCTATTAATGGTTACAAATTCTATGATGCTAAGCATCCACAAGGGAAAGCTCGAGGTGGAACAGCCATTCTCATTCGTAACAGAATAAAGCACTATAAATTAGAATCGCAAAGTGATGAGTTCATTCATAATACTGCAATACACATTGATGACCACTTGGGTGGCCTTACTGTATCTGCTATATACTGTATAAAAATCTTAAAAATAAGCACACAAACTGGTTAAAATACAAAAAGTATGTCAGTTCGCACATTGACTCGCAAATTCCTATTCAGACCAAGAATGATATCGACAGGGCAGCTGAACATCTCACTGATATAATAGTTAAGGCCGCAGAAATTCGCTCTCCGAAGCTTAAACAGGAGCTGAATGCGTGTACAAACGAATTACGTATTTTGTCGCAGGCGGAAAAAGAAAGAAGTACACAATCAATCCTTCAGTCCTTGTCTGCATCGAAACAGACTGACTACTCCCTTCGGCGAACACTGAAGCATGCGATGAGGCTCGTTCTTCAAGAAGCACCATTACGTACTCAGAACGGAAGCTGGGCGAGGAATGATGAGGATAAAGCCGCTTTCGCCTGTCATCTTTCACAAGTCTTTAGACCCAATGAAGGCGCTCATCCTTTCAATATTTTAATACCCTCCAGTAGCCGTACCACAAATCCGCTTCGGTTTAAAAAGACAGATTTAATTAACATAATTGTTCACGACATTCAGAAGAATAAAGCGCCTGGTTACGATAGGATTACAGGTGAAATGATAAAGGAGCTTCGACTAAGTGCCGTACGTCTTTTGTTACATATTTTTAATAACATGCTTAATTAAGTTGGGGCACTTCCCCGACTTATGGAAACTTTCGGAAATAATTATGGTGCCAAAGCCAGGCAAAGATCCGACGGTAGTAAATTCATATCGGCCCAGTAGCTTGATTTCTGTATTTTCTAAAATATTCGAAAAACTTCTATTGAAAAAAGACAACCTCTTCTAATAAGTGACCAAATAATACCACCACATCAGTTCGATTTTCGAGAAAAACATGGCACTGTAGAACAAGTTCATAGAATTGTTTCTTGTATTAGAAAAGCCTTCGAAAGGAAGCAATACTGCACCGGTGTATTTTTGGACATCTCACAAGCTTTTGACAAAGTCTGGAATGATGGCCTTATATACAAACTAAAGGTTTCACTCTCTGCAAACACGGATGCAATTCTGGAAAGCTTTCTGCTGGGGAGAAACTTCAGAGTCAGGCAGAATTCCTTTAGAACGGGAAGTCACCCTATATATGCAGGTGTCCCTCAAGGCAGTGTTCTAGGACCCATATCGTAC